GTCCAGGAAGAGGCGGAGGGCTGGGTGGCAGCAGGTGGCTGGCTCATGCCGTGTCAGGTGCAGGGTCTGCTGGCTGGGTGCTGGCAGGCTTGCACCTGGCACGGGCACCGTAGCCAGACCGTGGCCCTTTAAGGGTTCCGGGGCCAGGAGGGGGGCAGAAGAGTTTCCCTGGCTTGGCCCAGAGTGGACACCAGGGCAAGCTGGGAAGGGCTAGCCTCCAACTAGTTCAAATTAAGTGGCTACACAGCCCTTAATTCGAACTAGGCGTTAGTCCTCGAGGAATGAGGTTTACCTAGTTCGAATTAAGCACTCTGCTAGTTCAAATTAAGTTTGAACTAGCGGTTTGTATGTGTAGCGCCTATGAAAGTTAATTCGAACTAATGGCTGTTAGTTCGAATTAACTTTGTAGTGTAGACATATCCCCTCCTGGCAGGATTCACAGCTTTGAGAATAAAGAGCCTGATTCTTCCTTCACTGTAACCCATTTCACACCACTGATGTCTCTGACATGACTCCTGATTTGCAATAGGGTGAAGAGAGGAGGCTCAGTCCCCAGCACTGAACAGGGAGGGGATGGAGATGGGGGGAGGAGGGGTAATGGCCTCTACTTACGTGTTTGTCCAGGGATTCCTACGTGTCCCCTTTGTCGCATGAGTCAGGCCCGCGTGTCAGGCTGGGAGGGGGCCTCATTTTATAGTAACTCTATCTCACTTTTTGCTCAGCTGTAAACAGAAGCAACAGCTCGGAGCTGGAGGAGACTGAGGAATCAGTGCATGAAAAGCCAGCCCCAGACTCGGATTCAGTTCTAGGCACCCAACCCCGGGGGCACTTCAGCCGGCAGCCAGTGAAGTATCCTCGACCAGCACAGGTCAATACGAGGCCAATCATTCCCAACCCTTCCAGTTTGTCCTTGATGGCTGCTGTTCTGTCTAGCGCAGGGAGGGAGGCTGAAGTGGAAGGCAGGCCTGCAGACTGCAGCTCCGTGGCAAAGGAAACCCTGGAGAAGAAAGGTGGAAGCAGCAGGAGTAGCTCCCCAGAGACCAGCATGCTGCACCGCCATCCTGGAGGCAAACAGCAGCTCAGACATTTCGAGATCACCCAGGAAACTGCCAGGATCGTCTCCAAGGTTCAAACCAGCGACCCTTCCACAGAGTTCTCTCAGGCTTCCTTGGAAAGGACAAGCACGGACTGCATTGAACCCAAACTAGGCCCTGACTTGGGGACACCATCCCAGGGAAACCTGTGTGAACAGTGAGGCAGCCCTGCTGGAGACAGAGCTGCGTTGCCACAAGTGCTACCTACTAATTGACGCCGACAAAGGAAGGGAGGTGATAAGGCCCTGATCCCAGCATCTCTGCTAGGGTGGAAGACTGCAGGAAACATCTGTTATGCCTCAGCAGGCAAGCTGTGGGGCAGCCCAGACTTAGCTTTTTTACTGGTTAGCAAACTCCAAGCGCCCTTTAAGAAATAAGTGCAGAGGCTCTGTTCATGGAAAGCAAACATCTGCTTCTGGCACCAGGTGTTTTCCTGCAAGGGGTGGGCTCTGTGATATCTGGACAGAGAAAGCATTTACATGGCTGCCAATATCTATGCAGAGAGGAAGTGACTGTGAGAATTGGGGAGTTGGAGAGGAAACACTCATAAATGGTCACTTTCTTGAAGCTACAAGCCTCCACTGATTTGTTCCATTCAAAGCATCCCTCATTTTTCAGCATAAATCCAGGGACGTAGAGTGTGTTGACATGGTCTGTTCCCGGGGCTTCCACTGCTGGAATTTCTGTTTTCTATAAACACAGATAAAAGCATAAGTCATTTTGAGAAGAAGAGACTGTGCCACCCAGTGAGCAGTATCAGCGTGCTACTTTATCTTAATCCCATCTCTCTGCTTTTCCAACAGACCCCTCCATCTCTAGCATCTCTTGAACAGCTGTTGCAACCACAATCCCCTGAACCCATTGCAGAAAGGCTTTCTGTGGTGTTCAGCATTTTCCATGCCTGGATCACACCTTTCCCCACTCCCATGCACTGCGATCATTCATCACGGAGCCCTCTTCTGGTAGTGTCAGGATCAAACTATGCCCCTGGGACTTTTGTGTGAGGAAAACCTCAGGATTGGGCCTCCAATGAATACATGTAGTGAGCTAACACTGAAATGTGTGAGCTAAAATGATGGGTCGCTAACCTGGAATAATTCAGGTCATAGGAATGTGCACTGTGATCAACTGCAGTGGATTTTCTTGGTTTCTGGTTATGCACTGGGTGAAATACACCCCTGGGGAGATGGCAGTGTAAGGACTAGCCACCCATTTAAGAGGGGTGAATTTCTCCAGCAGTGAGCAACTGTAAGCCAGGACGCCCTAGGCAGATGATTAAAGCCTTGGTGTTACATCTCTAATTCTGTTCAAGAGCTCCTCTTTCTTTTGGTAAAGTTGGCCACCTTCTTTTTTCTCTAGCCTTGTCCATCATCTTTGTGTTTGTTCCTGTTTCTTAACAAGATCCTAACAGAAACTCTAAGGATTTATTTCCAGCAGTTGTAGAGCTTGGGCCAAAAAATGGGGAATATCACCCATTCATTCCACAGTATGCCTCAGAAGATGTGTATTTAATGTTAAAACATGTGGCTTTGTGTTCTTGGATATTAAATTATCTTTTAACAAAATGAGTTTCTGTGGTAAGTGTGTGGGAGCTTTGTTACAAGTTTTTGTGTCCTGCTTGCTTGTTAAATGAGCCTTTGTGAAATCCCTGATTGGATGTTCGTTGCCCAGTTGTCATTATTTGGTACTGCATGTTGAACCACTCTAGTCTGGCACCTTCTAGTTCAGCAACATCCGTGGTCCGGTGTGATTTTAGTTAGCCAGATGTCCTCTTTTCATGGGTATGGCCAAGTTTACTGCAGTCCCATAAAGTTTTACAGCCCCCAGTCCTGCCTCTCGGTGTTCCGTGCTCTTATTTAGCTAATTTATCCCTAAATATCATCTAAGAGCAGAGTTTGCAATGGAAGTGTTGGTAATGCTGCTAGACATTACTGACCTCCTGTGGTTCAGCAAATTGTCTGGTTCAGCACTGGTCAGGTCCTGAGGATGTCAGACTACAGAGGTTCAGTATTTCTAGAGAGGTAGAATATTTACCTAGCATTGCTTGGGTCTTTAACTTTCAAATAAGTTTTGGTTTTCTTCATTGTTCTGGGAGGTGGCTGGGGATGAGGAGTTCATTATGCAGGTTGGCCCAGGGAAAGAAGATCTCCTCAGTCCTCCCTCACCAGAGCTGCCTGGGGCCAGGTTAGAAGCACCTGTCCATGGCCACTGCAGCTGCAGTGGGCACAGCTGGGGGAAGGGTGCATGTCCTCCGACTGGGAGACAGGTATAGACAGACACACAGACAAACGCTCTGAAACATACATTAGATAGCTATCCATTTCTCCACCCCTGCCCCCTGCTGGCCCAATGGGGTTATAGCTGTCCCAGTTCCCACGTCTGGCCCCTTGCTGCCCTGGTGTTCATTCTGCAGTATAACTATCTCTCCTACCAGATCCTTCCTTTCCCATTTTATGAAAAACAATTAAATTCCAGGCACATCCCATTGTCTTGGCACAATCAAAGCCTGACCTTGCTTTAAGTTATGATAAGAAGAAGCTGCATCTCAAATTTTGTCCTAACTCTTATGGTTTAGGAGATGTTCTTGAACAAATAGACTCACAGGCTACGTCTAGACTGGCATGATTTTCCACAAATGCTTTTAACAGAAAAGTTTTCCGTTAAAAGCATTTTCGGAACAGAGCGTCTAGATTGGCACGGACACTTTTCCACAAAAGCACTTTTTGCAGAAAAGCATCCGTGCCAATCCAGACACGCTGTTGCGCAAAAAAAGCCCCGATCGCCATTTTTGCAATCGGGGCTTTTTTGCGCAAAACAAATCTGAGCTGTCTACACTGGCCCTTTTGCGCAAAAGGACTTTTGCCCAAACGGGAGCAGCATAGTATTTCTGCAAGAAGCACGGATTTCAGACAGTAGGAAGTCAGTGTTCTTGCGGAAATTCAAGCGACCAGTGTAGACAGCTGGCAAGTTTTTCTGCAAAAGCAGCTGCTTTTACGGAAAAACTTGCCAGTCTAGACACAGCCACAGAGGGACGGACAGACAGACAAATGCACATTTCTAAAATACATAGGAAGAAGAAAATATGCCAACAGGGATATAGGCAACTTCAGTAGTTGCCTAGGGTGCCGTGTTTAACGCGATGCCCAATGATGATGTCATGCCATTGAGGGCTATGGAGGCGGGGGTGCCGATCACGCCTTCCACCTAGGGCGCCAGCTGCCGCAGCCGGCCTCAGGCTGCTCTTGCCAACAGTGCCCTCAACCTTTTATAGAACAAAAATGAAAGACAGTCCCTGTGCTGAAGAACTCACCATCTAAGGGCCAGACTAAGATAAGGCATCTGCAAGACCTGGAAGAGGAAGGTAACTCAGATTTTCCTTTCTTGTCTCATGTTTGAATTGAGTTTTATAGGATCAGGTGCTGCCTATACATCTCTCCTAGACCGGAGTGGGGAATCTTAGACCCAGGGGCCAGATGTGGCCCCTGGTTTGCCTGGATCCAGCCCCCAAGGCTCATCTCCTGCCCCTCCCCAGCATTGGGGAGCCCACACTGATACTCCACCCCCCACTCCCGCTACCTCACTGCAAGGCTGGAGCACACAAAATCTATTAGGCTGGGCGCTCCTAGGCTCTGGTGTGCGAGGGGAATGTGGGGAGTGTCTTTCTCCTCAGTCAGAGGCCACATCAGGGAGGGTTTGTTTTTGTTTTTTTGCTTCTCACTTGTGTGCAGCCCCCAACTGATTTTTTTGTGGGTGGGTGGCTCCTGACCCAAAAAAGTTTCCCCACCCCGTGCTAGACCATCATCCCGAGAGCAAGCCTGAGCGCTGATCCCCTGCTGGCACGTACGGGCAGCGTTCAGGCTGCACCTTATGAATTTGGTACTTTGCAAAGCTGTCAACTGGATTCCAGTAAATATATATTCCAGATGATGTTTGTGTTAGTTGCTAAGGTGCCATGGGACTGCTCATTTTTTAAATATATTAATACCATTCTGTTTGTGGTAGGATTTAAATCCAGAAAATATGCCTCTGACCAAATTTTGCATGGGCTCTGTGGAACAGTTCCTCTGCCAGTGTAAACTAGCATCACTATGTTGACTTCAATGGTGTGAGACCAATTCCAGCCACAGAACTGCCCATATGTGTCCACCAGATGGCACCTAAGAGTCCCCAGGACCATTGACTTGCTCCTGCTGTTGCTACCGTTCCTACTGGTTCCCTGTGCTTAGGGTTGCCATCTCTGAACTTTCAAAAAAGAGGACACCTGATGCCTGCTGGTGCAGCTGCTCCACTCGCACAGGAGGCCAAACTCGGGAGCCTGACTCGGGAGCTGGCTGCTGCTGTCAGGGCTGTGGCGGCCCCCGCTGGCTCTCATGGAGCGAGGGGCGCCGCATGCCAGGCTCCTGCTTCCTGGCTGCACTGCCCCGAGACGTGCAGCAGCATGGGCTCCAGTGACACTGCCAACCAGCCAGCAGCTCGGGCCGCTGCGGGGCCAGGAGGAGAGAGTGGGGGGCCAGAGAGGCTGCTGGCTGGGGCCCATCGTGGGGCATGAAGTTAAAAGCACCAAGGGAAGAAGTGGCATGTCTAGAAAAGAAACCCAGGAATCCTGCTTCCCAGAATCCCTTCTTTTCCCCTGTTCACCCCACCAAGCACCAGCTCCCACAGTCTTCACAGAGCTGAGACTGGAACCCCCAAATCTAACCCACAGACCCACTGCCCACCTACAGGGAAGGAAAGAAGCCAGAAGTTCTAACACCCAGTTCCCTGCTGTAACCCAATGCCCCTGCCCTTCCCCAGAACCAGCCACACCCCTAACCCGCCCTGCTGTAACCCAGGGCACCCATCCCTCCATCAGAGACAGGCCCCCCCAGTCCTCCCCCTCCACTTTAACGCAATGCCCTTCCCCTTCCACAGAGTCAGGGCCATAACCTAGAGAGGTGGAGGGTAATGTGGTGACTCTGCGGGAAGCCCCATACCGGACCTGCCCGGGGGCTCCCCTGACCTGCCACTGCTGCAGCCACATGCTTTTCCGGCCAGGCACTGGGGTGCATGCGCAGAGCGGCCATTAACGGTCTGGGCATGTGGCTCTGAACATTCAATTTGCCAAACACATGCCCCCTCTCTTCCTCGTTCCCCTTTACAAAGCAAAATCCTGGACATTTTTAGTCATTTAAAAAACCCAGCCAGACAGAGATTTAAGAAGCGAAAAGGAGGACATGTCTGGGGAAAAACCTGACAGATGGTAACCCTAGCTGTGCTGCTCTGACCAAATGCGGCCTTTCTACTGCACTACTTCATGCTGAGCAGCCCTTCTGACTGCAGCATTTACCTCATTGGGATTGTTTGAGGATATTTTTAACAAATGAAATTATTCTGTTTTGCACTTTCCATTCAAGAATCCAAAAGTGGTTTTCAAAAGCAGGTCAGTCAAATTTAACCCATTTTACAGATGGGTAATTTAAGGCACACCCAAAGCTAGATCCAGGAAGATAAACCATCTCAGCAGACTCCCTAACAGTAATATAGCCTAGAATCCTGTAACAGCGTTTGAAGATTCACTCTTTCTGGGACTAGCCAGACCTGGGCTATGTCTACACTGGTGGGTTCTTGCACAAGAACATCTTGTGCATGGGTTCTTGTGCAAGAACTCTTGCGCAAGAACACATCCACATGGCCATGTGCTTTTGCACAAGAGCATCCATAGCAGTGTGGACACTCTCTTGCGAAAGAAAGCTCTGATGGCCATTTTAGCCATAGGGCTTTCTTGCACAAGAAACCCCTGCCACGTGTCCACACTGCCCTCTTGCACAAGAGCTCTTGAGCAAGGGAGCTTACACTTGGTAGAAAAGAGCATACACTTGTGCAAGAAGCCCTCTCTTCCCGCGCTTTATTGTAAATCTTTTTGCGTAAGAGCGGGTGGGCCGTGTGGACGCTCTGCGGGTCCTTGTGCAAGAACAGCCATTCTTGTGCAAGAACCTGTCAGTGGAGACACAGTCTAGGAGACAAGGTGAGCGAGGGGGTATCTTTTATCGGACTAACTTCTGTTGGTGAGAAAGGTAAGCGTCCAAGTTACACAGAGCTCGTCCTCAGGGCTGAGAGAGGTTCTCAGTGTTACAGTTAAAGACAAGATCGAAAAGATAACACGGGCTAGTGCAGGGCTACTCCACTTTGGAAGCCCCCAGGCCTCGGCATGTGCTGTGAGTATCAGTGAGGCCCTGGGGGCTTCCAAAGTGGAGTAGCCCTGCACTAGCCAGTGTTATCTTGTCTTTAACTGTAACACTGAGTGCCTCTCTCAGCCCTGAGGAAGAGCTCTGTGTAACTTGGACGCTTACCTTTCTCACCAACAGAATTTAGTCCAATAAAAGATACCCCCTCGCTCACCTTGTCTCCGAGAGCTGCAATTTAAGTGTGGTTGCATGTACATGTAAATATATATGCAAATATATGCAAACAGCTTCTTTCACATTGATGGGCATGAATACAAAGATTAAGGAAAGACTACACAACATGCAGGCCCCATTTAAGTCAGTTCTGCTGATATTAATGAAGTTCAATATTTACCCCCATTTCCACCCATGTGACAGCACTTTTAATAGCAATGACAGTCCAGGAATTTAACTACTAAAACGCATATCAACAGAAGACCATTATATTGACTCACCGTTATGGAGCGTGTTCTCAGCGGAGGCCATGTTCAA